AGACGATCCTGGCTAACACGGTGAAACCCCGTCTCTACTAAAAATACAAAAAAAAAAAAAAAAAAAAAAAACGGGCACCTGTAGTCCCAGCTACTTGGGAGGCTGAGGCAGGAGAATGGCGTGAACCTAGGGGGCGGAGCTTGCAGTGAGCCGAAATCGTGCCACTGCACTCCAGGCTGGGCGACAAAGCGAGACTCTGTCTCAAAAAGAAAAAGACAAGAAAGTTACTTATTTTTAAAAAAAAAAAAAAAAAAAAGCTATCTTATATAACTCTCATTAATATTCTGTAGAACTAGAAAAAAAAAAAAAAAAAAATGTGGACCTTATTCAAACACTGTATCCCTAGCACCTAGACAATAAAAAAAAAAAAAAAAAAACTTAATATATATTTTATTTATTAATTTTTTTTGAGACAGACTAAAAAAAAAAAAAAAAAACTGGAGTGTAGTGGTGCAATCTTGGCTCACTGCAACCTCCGCCAAAAAAAAAAAAAAAAAACTCTGTCCCAGCCTCCCAAGTAGCTGGGATTATAGGCGCCCGCAAAAAAAAAAAAAAAAAATTTGTATTTTTAGTAGAGAGAGGGTTTTTACCATGTTGGGCAGAAAAAAAAAAAAAAAAAAACCTTGTGATCTGCCCACCTGGGCCTCCCAAAGTGCTGGGATTAAAAAAAAAAAAAAAAAAGCCCGGCCATTAATATATATTTTAATGAATGAATGACGGCATTTTAGTTGATTCTGTTGCATTTTCTGGGTAGACAATTTTTCCAATTTTTCAACGATTATAATAAAAAAAAAAAAAAAAAAGCTCTGAAATTCATGTTCTGAAGTACCCTTTCTTCTATGTTTACATCAATATTAGATAAAACAGAAAAAGGTAAAGTTACACAGCTATGACATGCAGAAACAATAAAAAAAAAAAAAAAAAAAAAACAGTGTTTAGAGGCTGGGTAGGGTGGTTCGTGTTTGTAAAAAAAAAAAAAAAAAAAACCAAGATGGGAGGATTGCTTAAGCCCAAGAGTTTGAGAATAGCAAAAAAAAAAAAAAAAAACCCCTGTCTCCACAAAACGTAAAAAAGTTAGCCAGGCTTGAGTAAAAAAAAAAAAAAAAAAAGTGAGCTATGATCGTGCCACTGCACTGAAGACTGGCTGACAGAAAAAAAAAAAAAAAAAAGGAAAAAAAAAAAATGCTTATTTGGAGAAATAATCCCTGAAAAAAAAAAAAAAAAAAAAAAGAATATTAATGTACACATTCAAGGTCAATTAACTCCAAGAAGAAAAAAAAAAAAAAAAAAAACACCTAGGAACATTATGGTCAAACTGCCAAAAGACAAAAACAAAAAAAAAAAAAAAAAAACAGGAAAAAAAAAAAAAAGCAACTCATCATGTATAAGGGATCCTCAACAAAATTAATAACTGACTTCTCATCAGAAACCATGGAGCTCAGCTGGGCGCGGTGGCTCACGCCTATAATCCCAGCACTTTGGGAGGCTGAGGCAGGTGGATCACCTGAGGTCAGGAGTTAGAGACCAGCCTGATCAACATGGAGAAACCCCATCTCTACTAAAAATACAATATTAGCTAAAAAAAAAAAAAAAAAACTGTAATTCCAGCTACTTGGGAGTCTGAGGCAGAAGAATTGCTAAAAAAAAAAAAAAAAAAGTTGCAGTGAGCTGAGATCTTGCCATTGCACTCTAGCCTGGGCAAAAAAAAAAAAAAAAAACCTCAAAAATAATAATAATAATAATAAAAAGAAACCATGAAGCAAAAAAAAAAAAAAAAAAACATTCAAAGTGCTAAAAAATATTGTCAACCAACAATTCCATAAAAAAAAAAAAAAAAAAAAAAACTGAAGGAAAGGCCAGGGGTGGTGGCTCATGCCTATAATCTCAGCACTTTGAGAGGCTGAAGAGAGGATCACTTGAGCCCAAGAGTTTGAGACCAGCTTGGGCAACATAGTGAGACTTCATCTCTACAAAAAAGCAAAAAATCAGCCGAGCATAGAGGCGTAAAAAAAAAAAAAAAAAAACTTGGGAGGCTGAGGTGGGAGGATTACTTGAGCCCAGGAGATAAAAAAAAAAAAAAAAAAACAAGGCGCCACTGCACCCCAGCCTGAGTGATGGAGCCAGACTAAAAAAAAAAAAAAAAAAAGAAAAGAAAAATGATGGAGAATGCAGACATTCCCAGATAAACAAAAAAAAAAAAAAAAAACTGCCCTGCAATGTGAGCCATTCAAAATGAAAGATTATTAGACAATAACCTGAGTTCATGTGAAGAAATAAACAGCATTGGTAAATGCTGGCGTGGTGGCTCACGCCTGTAATCCCAAAAATTTGGGAGGCTGAGGCCAGTGGATCACTTAAGGTCAGGAGTTCGAGACCAGCCTGGCCAACATGGTGAAACCAAATCTCTACTAAAAATACTAAAAATATAAAAATTAGCCGAGCATGGTGGCAGGTGCCTGTAATCACAGCTACTGCTGAGGCAGGAAAATCGCTAAAAAAAAAAAAAAAAAAGTTGTAGTAAGCTGAGATCAAGTCACTGCACTCTAGCCCAGGTAAAAAAAAAAAAAAAAAACTAAAAAAAAAAAAAAAAAGTAACACAGTACAAACATAGTATAAAAAAAAAAAAAAAAAAAAAAAATTTCTTGCTAGGGATAGTTCCATTTATGTTATA